ACCATATATATATATATATATATATATTCTCATGTATATGTATGCGAGTACAACCAGGTTACTAGAGCAAAAATTATTTAATTTGTCTGGGTTTGGGGGAAAATATATTTGCCTAGGTATAGCATTAGCCCAGCCGACATTCAAGTTTCTATCATCCTCTTTGTCTCTGCACATTTTTATTTAGTCTTCATCTTATTAGAGAAGGCCCATCCATTTTAACATAACTATAAGTTGTTTATATTTTTCATAAATTGAAGGATTAGGAACTGTGACCTAATATTTTTGTTCTACTTATGAACAGTCACTTCCAGTAGCGTTTTGTAGTTCTCTGAGTGAAAATAAACTGGATAAAGCAGTTATTAAAAGCTGCTTGGGATCCTGGCATGTTAGAGTTGGCAGGACTGTTGATGGGGTGCTGTCTTTTGAAGAAGGTTGGGAAGAATTTGTGAACCATCATGGCCTGAAACTAGGAGAAATTTTGATATTTAAACACAACGGCAAAAGGGCCTTCAATGTGGTTGCCTATGAGGCACTTGGTAGTGAGAAAGTGTATGATTCCAAAGGTGGGTCAAAATTTACATCCTTTCTCTGCATTTCCCATGTTGCGTTGCATCTAATGGTGGGTTGTTCCTTGGACTGTTTTCAGAAGCAACTGCATCCTCAACCTCAAGGACTTCGTTCGCGTGCACGATGAAAAAATCCCATGGGGATCCTCATAAGGCTTACCTGGTAAGTTTTCTAACTTCTCTTTAGCTGTATGAAGTGTGTCATGTTATTATTTGCACATTATTGAAGATACAATTTCATGATTCCACTTCAAAGGAGATCTGCCAAAGTATATACAAAACATTATTTGTTGCCTGCAAGAGAACATATTATTTGTTGCATAATTAAAAAAGATTTAATATTTAAGCTTTAGAGAGTAGTGTTGGACAAAAGGAGGGAAACTTTAGTTTGTGTATAATAAGAGCAGGCCATCCTTCTTTTTCTCCTGAAAATATATTTTACAGCTTACTAATTATGTAGATCCCTAAAGGACTCCTCCCCACCCCTTTTTTTCTTTCCTTGACTTGCATTTGGTCAGTTGGAGCCATGCTTGATGCTCTGTTCCTTTTTATGGGATTTAAAGTTGTAATATTATTTGATTGTGATTCGTTTGATGCTCTCTCTAGCGTTGTCGTTAAGTTTTCATTAACACTGATAGTAACAATAATTGTTTATTTATATATTGAATAATCTCATTCTGAAATGCTTCCGTAATCTGTGCATGCAGATCATCCAACTTGTACAAACCCGTAATTAGAACAAGATTCATTTCAAGATTGTTCAATAATCTCTGCCCATCAAATAATATTCCAAAGCCATCTTTATTGATGTGAAGCTGACTGGAGCTACTTTTATATGTTCACTGTGTCATTTATTTATTCTTATCAACTTAGTTAAAAGGGAAGTCAGAGATGATAAAACATTTTCCAATACATGTATATGCTGGCTGTTCCAGTTAACATAAATCGAGTAATCTTCTTCAATAATGTGGATCATTCTGAAGTCGGATCATTCTGATGTGGATCCTCATAAGACTATATTCTGACGTTATTATTTGTTCAGGGTTGAGTTGCGATCCTTACAACTAGCATGATGAAATTTCTTTTTCTTTTTTGGATTTTCTCTAAATCTGGTGGTTGATTTATGACAGACTATTCCTGCGCGATTTGCGAGATCAAATGGCATTGTGGCCACATCCAGAATAATTCTCAAAGACCCGTCTGGAATATCATGGCCACTGATCTTAAGTAGGTGGGAAAGCATATCCAGGGGCAGTCATCGTATAGCTATCAGAACAAATGAATGGTACAAGTTTTATGAAGCCAACAAGCTCAAAAATGGAGATGTCTGCACATTCAACCTGAAACCGGTATCATCTAAGTCAGGTTCAAAATCAGCACGTGTCATGGATGTCCAGATAACCCGCGGTTGATCCTAGTCCATTGTAAAATTTGTTGATGTCCTTCGGATTTTGAACAATATCATCAAGCACCTAAGTTGCTGCTATCATGTTTGATGGGTTTGTTGATTCTGTGACGAGGTTATCTATCTAGCTCATGCTGTAATTCTTCTGCTGTTGCTATCTAGCCAGAAGAGTGTAACTCTGATGGATGAAACCTCCTTTATGCCTACTTTTGAAATTGTAATATTTCCTTCGCAGTTTTATTTGAATTTCTGTTAACGGTTGAGTGCTAATTAAAACACTTTGATATCTTTAATTAATCATTTATGATAAGCCACTTTTTCTTTTGGTCGAAAATCATAAGATTAACAGTATCAGTTTTTTCACTTGTGTTTGTATCATAGACTTAAATTTCGATATTATCGCCGATTCGTTTTTTTTGGGCCCTGATATTTTCGCAACATTCCATTTATATTTCGTCAATTTATCGATAATATCCTCGATAATATCGCCGAAATATCGGGACCGATATTTTCGTTCAAATTCAATATGAAATGGTCAATATATCGCGATATTATCTATAATATTGATAATATCGCAATATGAAACCGAAAAAGACAGAAAAATGTTGAAAAGCCTCACCTTGCGCGCAGAGGGATTCGAACCCCTTCCCCTTCTCATCAAAGCCAGCTTCTTCTCCAACTCAGTTGCGGCTGAGTTTGTGTACATACCATCAACTTGTAATATTTATAAGGTCTTTAAAAATTGTCTGCAAGATAAATTTCCATATTAAAAAAATTC